TATATATACCACATCTTATTTATCCATTCATCCATCGATGGACATTTGGGCTCTGTCCATACTCTGGCTATTGTTGACAGTGCTGCTATAAACATTGGGGTACATGTGTCACTTCGAATCAGCATACCTGTATCCCGTGGATAAATACCTAATAGTGCAATTGCTGGGTCGTAGGGTAGTTCTACTTTTAATTTTTTGAGGAAACTTCATACTGTTTCCCAGAGTGGCTGCACCAGTTATTTTTAAACTCTTTAAGTATTATTTAGTTTTATATACACAAAGTTTATATTCGGTTTATTCCCCACAAACCAATTGCAAAGTCAATTGTCACAGCTAATATATTTGACTTCATGTTTTTCACCTTATTTTGTGCTTTTGACTCATGGCACTTCCTTGCTGTCTACTCAGTGTTTGTCATTTTAATATGTATGTTCTGTTTTGACCACTTCCATCTTTCCCATTGATTTTGAAGGCTTAGACCCAAGTTTCCTGGACTTTTATACACATTAACTCCAAAATGATTACTTGAGATTTCATGCAGTTTTCAAATTCTTTTTCCAACAACTATTTAAACTGAACTTGAGATTCGGTGGCTCTTAATTCACACTATGACATCCTCATTTTGGGGTTCTTAACTTTGCTTTACTTTCTGAGAGTTAAAGCATATTGTCAGTAACTTCTTGTACGACAGGCAAGTGGACATTATGCTTATAAGTCTTTTTCCCCTCAAATGTTCATGCAGTTTGTTATATACATCATGTCTTTTGCTCATGTGAACTGGATGAAATGTACTCAAGGTGTTTCTCTTCTGATTCTCATTGTTGTCTCAGATTAATGTTGGAAAAATTCTTAGCCCCGGTTATTTTTATTTCTTTGTTGTGTAGCCTTTTTCCTAATGTTTAAATGTCTGTCTAAATGTCTAAATGTTTGAAGGGCTTTTCTTTATGTTATAATCTAAGCTTTTTGACTAAATGTGCCTAGATATGGGTCTCTCTTTATTCATTGTCTTTAGACTGCAACGAGCTTTTTCTACCTGCAAAATAAGGGGTATTTTCTATCTCAGAAAAAAAATGTCTTTCAATCACCTTTGCCATTATCATTTCTATTCCCATTGTTTTGATGTTTCCTCTTGGGACTCCCTAGAACTGTTAGCTCCTGTTTATGTCTCTGTTCTCCATTTTATATTCTTTCTCACCTTATTTTTATCTTGTCTTTTCTGAGAGAGCGTCCTAAGGTGGTGGCCTCCATTGACAATTCGGTGCTGCGCAGATGATGATCATTCCCGATGCCGCTGTGCAGATGTTATCTTTAGTCTCTTGACTAAAGAGTCTTTGTCTGAGTCTGAGTCTTGACTCAGAGTCTTTTGTGCTCTGTCATCTTTAGTCTCCCTGTCTCGCTCAGCATTGGTTTATTTTCATTTCAGTCTTGTCTCCTCTTGTGGGTTTCCGCCTCTGTCTCCTAGAGGCCACATCTTCCTGCATCCCGAGGATGTCATACAACTTTCTACAGGTTTCTTCTGGATCCTACACTAAATGTCACTGAGGTATTCTTTTTCTGTCACTGTTCCAGATATTTCCTTCTTGTGTGAAGCAGCGTTTTATGAATGGCCCCATGTGGCGGTGTTATTGTTATTGTTCTTGCTTCTACTGAAGAGAGAGATTCCCACAATCAGCATTTGTGGTTGCTCTCGGCACCTCTTCATCCTCCTGGACACCAGTGGAATCCCCTTCTGAGTTTAATATGCAAAGTTTCTAGAGGTTCCTCCCTGGAATTGTTCTGCTGTATTTTGATGGATTTATGTTTTCCTAATTGGATGGAGTAAATGGAAATCTACAGCCCATGGTTCAGGTTGCTGAGAGAGTTCATCTCATCCTTGACTACAAAGTTTTCTGGTTGCTCTCAGCAATCAGTGCTCCCTTGCCAACCCTGACTACTTTATACTGGTACTTTCTTGGAGTTTCTGACCTAGAATAACCCAAAAAGTGGGAGGTAAGGGGAGCAACTGTAAAGCAGCATAAATGGAATGAGGTGTTAGGTGTGTGCTCTTCTGGTTATTACTGAATGACCCCACTTGGGGTCTTGAACAAAAGATAGAATGAGAAAGAAAAGGGTCTTCTTACCTGTTTTCACATTAGAAAGTCTAGAGTCGTTGAATGTGTCTAATTTTTTTTTGTATTGGTGTGACGAGCCTTGTAATTAACTGAAATCACCCCCAGATTCTAGAAGTAGATAGGAAGCCCATTCCCCTTCTTACCCTTGCTGGGAGTTTTTATATTTTGCTTTACTACTAGAGGTATTAGTTAGAATTCAAGAAAAACTATTCAAAAACTGCCAGCTGGTGATGGTGACATTAATTTTTGCCCCTGGAGAGAGCCAAAATCATTCTAATATTACAGCTTGAAAGTAAGGCACACACCCCTATTAACGTGCTATGCCAATTATGTGTATCAGCCTGCTTCTAGATCAGCTAGCCTCATTCCAAAATTCACCTGAAAGATTTAGTTTTTTGCACGTAATATTTTTCACACTGTGATGGAACTGTGCATGATCTTACATAATCAGTATTCCTTCCCGAGGGGAAAAAAAATTGGCTTTCAGTGATGTAAACAGATGGAGAAGTAAGCCAAGGTAGATTCAGGATCAGTATATAGTAGCAGAAGCCCAGGAAGAAAAGCAACGATATCTACCAGAATAAATTTTCATTGACTCTAGAACCTTGAATTACCAAATTCATATATAGTTAATTTTACCTGACAAAACACGTTTACTGAATTCTTAATAATGTTTTCACTTGTGAGCAAATTACCTCTAGGATGTGCATACTGTGAATTTTGTCCTTAGAACACATCACTTCTCTCTTAACTCGTTTAAACATCTCTAAAATACAGATCAAACAAAACTGAAAATCAATTCACCTTGGTCTGCAATGCTCTGCTTTGGTATGTTTTAATTGTAAACAGTATATCAAAATATTACTTAGAAACCCTCTTTCTGCCCATCAGTGTTTTTAAAGGAGATATGAGCAAAAAAGTCCCGAGAAGACAGTGGTTCTAATAAGATCAATTTCTTTTAAAGAAAAGAACAGACTTCCGGATGTTGCTGGTATTCTGCTGGGGGCAGGAGGTGAAGGATCGTGTACTGTAAACATAGGTTCTGGGGAGAATGTTCTGGGCCTTTCTATTTGTCAATAAAACTTGTGCATCATTCTTTAGAAAATGTAGCATTTCAGCTAGAATTTAACATGTTCAAAAATTGTGAGCTGTTAGAATAAATCACATTTGGAAAAGGCTTTACTGTAACTCAGTGTTATATATCCTTCCTGAAGGACTTCAAAGATCAGCCCTTCACTCCGCTGATGCACAAAGGGAAAGGAAAATGTTTTAAAGTGTGGTTTCTCTCTCCATGTTACTTTTCACAGCAGGTCGCCTGTCCTTTCACCTGGTTTTACTTCTGTGTCTTGGTGGAGATCTGGAGTGGTCAGTTACAGATCTCTGACAAAAAAAAATCTCAAAAACATGAGAGGAAGTTTCGGGGTTGATTCACTTTCAACAGTGACAGCAGGACTGCCCCAAACCTGGAATTCTAATGAGGCCTAATTCAAATCAATAAAAAGGTCACCATGGATAAGATTACATGAGCCAGGCTGTGGGACATGACCCAATGTTGAACCATTTAGTTCTTGTTTTGGTCAAAGCACATGACAAGGGCACCTATGAGACAGTGAGGGTGGGGTTCCCCCAGAGGCTAGGAGACTAAGCAGGTGACCTGTCAATCATCCCAGGAAGTCCTTCATCCTGGACTAGGGAATAAGGCAGAGCTGCCTAGGGCAGTTGTGGCTGGGAAACGGTGGGATATCCCTGTCCAGGAGGTGCTCAGCACCACCCCTCTGCTTTCTATCAGCAGCAGCAGTGTAGCTGGGCAACCGGTGCACACACAACTGGGGCATGATGGTGGATGGTGGCCCAGACCTGGCCATTCAGACTTGAGAGGCCGGCCGTCCCCTCCTGGAGTCTCATCCCAATACGATGGCTCCATTATAAGGGCCAACAGCAGCTGTGAAGCAACATGAGGACAACTTGGGCCTTGTTTGGGAGCCATTACAGGCCATCCCATGAGTGCAAATCTGAGAAACGCTTTGGGAGAGGGTTTTCTTCAGCCAGCTCGTCCAAAGGGACTCATATCTGAAGAATGTGGCCATAGAAAGAAAGCATTTCATTCTATAAACAAAGAGATGACGTCAATGACAGGGTTACTCTAGAGTTTCCCTATATTACAGATAAAAAATTTCAAATATTTAGTAATAGTAATTCTCCATTCCAGACTTTTTTTCCTTAAAATTACGAATCCTACTACCTAAAAGATACTAAACGTGATTGGGTTTATATTGTAATTTAAAAATTAGGGATGTCATTTTAAAAGAACTTGGAAGTCAGTGGTAGCGTTTAATACAAAGACACATACTTGACTTCTGCATGTGTAAATTAATCTTAATGCTTGTGTCATTACTGGGGAGCAGCTTAAGTTGGCATAAACCCCATGTAATTTATTTATGTGGTTAGTCTTCGGTGCAGGATCAATGATGGGACATAGTAGATTTGGGATGTCTGGCCCTGTAAGTCAATTTATAAAATTCCCGCAAAACCTGGGGAAAGCGTCAGCCTGTTGTGTTTTATTGTTTAATTAGCAAGTTGTCAAAAAGCGGCACCTTATAAGCTGAATGATGCTTTTTCACCTGTTCACTTACTTTTTATTGGGATAATGAGCTGTGGAATGACAGGAAGAATCTTGTTCCCCCCGTGTTCCAGCATGTCGTGGATTCCTTGCCGGGCAAAAAACTCGTAGGGAAATGTCATTTCACAGAGCCCCTCAAAAAACAGAGGCAAATAATGATGGTAATCCAGCTTCTCGATTTCCACCTGAAAGGAGAGAGAAGAAATGCCATGTGAAGACAACACTGGGGCGAAGCGTGGCCGGACCAGCTATGAAGCTGTCAACCAACTCAGGGGAAGCACATTCTCCAGGACTTTGGGAACATTTTACAAAGCAACTCGTCTCACAACCTGAAGTACATCATCATGTCTTTATTCTATTAGCAATGGGGTTACAATCACCGCCCTTTCAATTTCAAGAGATTAAAACAATAATAATCGACACTGGGAGCATTTTAGTATTTGTTTTGGGGATCTTCGTTAATATTTCACTCTTTGGCACAAATGCAATACTGAAAAGGATTCAAGGAGTCTATCGTGTGTATGTTGAAACATATATGTGAAAACAAAATGAAAAAAAAAAACCAGTTGAAAAGAGATTAGCATCTGAATTTCTAACAAGAACCTAATAGGGACTGCACATTAATACATTCTTGTGAAATGTGTCTTTTCGGGACCTGGCAAGTATGCGAATGAGGAATCAAATATGATTGCGAGAATGTTTCCTGGAACCTGCATGACAAGTGGAATCTTGGTCCTATCAAGACAGCTCAAAATCAAAATACCGCAGTCTCTCTCACCTGCCTCATCTGGGAACAGAGATATATCACTTTTTCCATTGCTACATTTTTCACCCTCAATGATGCCTCTGTGCCTCCTTGTCCCGATCTTTGCAGTAATATGCAGCACCGACGGGGGATAGAAACAAAAATTCTGGGGTTGAGAAAAGATATGATGTGTTGGGAGCTGCAGGGAATTTGTTCTAGCCCAGGCCCTTCCCTGTCTGCAGTATCCATGACCTGGCTTGCTACCTGCAAGGTGACAGAAGTGATGGTGATATCATGGATGGAAAGAAGCCAGCAGACTCAGACTGCTTTACAGAGCAAAGGGTGCGGCATTTCCAGTAAGAGGTGCACACTTGCCGTGTCTTCAACTCCTTACGAATGCACGCAGCTTCCAATGATCACCTTATAATTAAATGAGGAGCTCATCAAGACCTTAGAGCAACCGCCTTTTCCATGAGGAGGTTTTTATACCCTCCAGCTCTCTCCCAGCTCTCTGGAGTCTCCAGCCACACACCTGCCTGTCCGTGGGTATGAGTAACTGGTAACCCTCCCACCACATTTCCAAGTGTCTACGGTAGGTCTTGGTGAATCAAATGTCCTGCAGTTTCCCAAGTGGGAGGTTTGTCTCCAGTCTGCTCATGGACCACCCAGCCAACTGGGGAAATAGGGGGTTAGGAGTTAAATGTTTAGCTGTTCTCTCAGAATTGACCTTGGAAAATGAATCCCACAGGGAGGTTTATACAGACATCAATTTTATTTTATATTCCTTGTATATTCATCAAATTTACTTTATTCACACTAAAATTTTGTGGAACATATAGCTAATGCCAACCTTCTCAAGGGTTTTTGTGTATTTGAACACATTTTAGAACACTATTTTGTACAATTAAAAAAATACTGCTACACCATTCAGCCTCTAAAAGGTACAATGTTATTATCTATAATTTTACATTGTAGCCTAACTTCTTAATATGTTATCTGTACCATATTTTTTCTATATTGTTGATGTTTTTCTAATTCTCTTTCTTTTAGCTGGTTGTCACATGTACATATGTCTCCTGTAAATAGCAAATTATTAAATTTTGTACTTTAACGTTATCTAAGGATTTTTATTTATTTTAATACATTAAGCCATTCACATTTATCGCTATGTCTAGTTTTATTTCTGTCATCTTCCTTTTTGGTCCCTGGTTGTTGTTTTACATCTACTTTCCATTTCTCTTTTGCAGCTTTATTAAAATGTAGATTTTTTTCTCACTTTTTTCTGTAATGATGTGAAAGATAATACACCCTGTTTAAATATTTTATTGTGGCTATCTCATGTCTTTCGCAAACATTTTAAAACAAACTTTCATCACTTAAAGAAGCAAATTAAAAATCTCCTACTGGGGCGCCTGGGTGGCTTGGTCGGTTAAGTGTCCGACTTTGGGACTTCGGCTCAGGTCATGATCTCACGGTCCGTGAGTTCGAGCCCCGCGTCGGGCTCTGTGCTGACTGCTCAGAGCCTGCAGCCTGTTTCAGATTCTGTGTCTCCCTCTGTCTCTGCCCCTCCCCTGTTCATGCTCTGTCTCTCTCTGTCTCAAAAATAAATAAACTTTGAAAAAAAAATTAAAAAAAAATCTCCTACTAAGATTGCTGACATGCCATTTTTCCCCCTTGGAATTCTGTTGCTATGTTTCTTTGTATTGTTTGGGGCCACGATACCAACAACATCAACAACATCAGTTCATTTGATCCTTATAACAACTCTAAGGTAACAATTATCAGTATCTCAATTTTCAATACGGAGAACTGAGGCACTAAGAGGTTCAATAACTTGTCTAAGGTCTGCAGCTAGTAAGAGAGGTTGCTGGGATATGAACCCAGACTCTCTGGCTGCAGGACATAACACTACTTCTTAGACTCTGTTGTTAGGCATAATTATAATCTCCTGGTGACCATTCCATTTATCCTCATGTCTCCATCCCCTTTATCATTACTAATGCAGGCTGTCTTAGTCTACTCAAACACTAATGTCGCCATAACTAATATCGCCATGGTTTGTCTACTGTATCTTTTCCCCTTCCTTCCTTCCTTCCTTCCTTCCTTCCTTCCTTCCTTCCTTCCTTCCTTCCTTTCCTTCCTCCCTCCCTCCCTCCCTCCCTCCCTCCCTTCCTTCCTCCCTCCTTCCTTCCTTCCCCTGGCATTATGTTTTCACAGTATCTTTTCTGAGTAGCTGAAAGCTGTATTTGTTTTTTTCCTTCTTTCCCATTTCACAATATGTCTTAATAAATATTGAGCACACACTATTCTTATTCTCAGATGTTTTGAAAAGAAGGAAAGAGAAGCAATGGAAGAAAGAATAAAGGAGAGAGAGAGAGAGAAAAAAGCAGCAGCAATTGAGGGGCAGCAAAATTGAATGGAAGACTGAGGGAGAGAAGTTGAGAAAGAAAAGATTACCTCTAGATCTCTAACTACAAGCTCACTGACCATAGCCGTTCATTTCTACCAGAAATCCTTTTCCCATGAGTTCTGCTGACCCATTTGACAATTATTTGGTATATCTGATATCATTGTAGATCTGTTGCCTTAATGGAATAACAACTTGTCAGTATATTTTGAGGTCACAAACTACTTGAAATAGTATAGATTGTTTCTCTGTTTGCTATAGGGCGACTTTTCTTGTACATAACTTTTTTACTACTTGAATATCTTCTAGGGTTCCTCTTTTTATTATAATATTGTTTTGGGTGAAGAATGTGGCCTGGGCCTTGGTAAATCCTCTGACGTTCCATTTACAATCAGGAGATATCATGTATGTTTTGTTTAAAAATATATCTGACTTCTCTTTGATGTACTTTTTTTTGTAGAGCTCCTGCCAGCTACGCATCGTTTTCATTTGTCCATGGTAAAGTTGTCTATGCTTCCTCACTCCTGTTCTCTCTTCAGCCCGCCTGTCTACCATTCATTCCACTGCAGGTGCATCTTCCCAGGTCGCCAGTGACCTTCACTTTGTCTAATCCTCAAGTCTCTTTTCTGTTCTCATTATGTGACACACTTGGCCCTGGGCCTCCTGACCCCACACCCCCAGCATTAGGGGCCGTCCTTGATTTCCTTCCTTCAAGTCAGGTGTTCAGTCCATCACTTTCCAATTGATTACATCTCCAAGCAAATTCTGATTGCATTTCCTTTCCCGCCATTTTGCATACATCCTGCTTAGTCTAAGCCATCAGCTTACTGCAACCAATAATGTCCTTGTCTCCACTTTTGCCTTCCCGTTTCCATTCTCCGTACTCTTGGGTCCTGATCTGTGGTTGCTCCTGACTCAAATTTCAACAGGGCCTCCCTGATCCGTCCCCAGGTCCTGTTGCATCATACCATCCTTCTGCAACACTATTCTCTGGAACCACTGGTGCCTTTTGTTCCCTGACCAGACTAGCCTCGCTTGTTCCTCCTTAGACACTATCTTTGAAAGCTCTTCTCCCCTTCTCTCCAGCCCTCTGGGGTGTTGGCAACTCCTCGTATCTAGATTTCAGTTCAGTGAGACCCTCTTATCACTGCCGACCAACCCTGTTTGATTTGCTAGGTACACTTTACCATGTACTGATTGCAGTTTTTTAGGTTCTGTTGTTTAAGTTCTGTCATTGCCCGAAAGGGTGTTGGAAAGGCACAGAACAGGTGAATACTCAAGAAGCACGTGTTGAATTTCAGTTCTGACCTTTTGAATCTGTCCTCTGTGCTAACTCTTTGAGAGGATACTCAGTTAAGGGAACAATGGCCAGATGGTGAATGGCCATCTCTAGAGCCAAGACTGAGGACCGCAGCAAAGTGCACAGAGGGCCTGGTGTTGATCACTGGCCTTGTAGCATGACGGGGCCTGTAGGTTTCTATAGATTTAAATTTTCTACAACGTTATGTATTCTACAAATAAAATGCTACGTTTCCTCCATTGGGATTGCAATGATTATTTACATTTCAGGAATTTTATGAGTGTTTTAATAGACAATCAGGATGGTTTGCTTCTTGGTGTTTCTATTTAGCCTCATTAGAAATCATTTAGGGATTAATTTGCTATTCCATTTATTTTTAAAACTTCAGAAGGAAAAGTTTTGTTTTTCACAGTATCATCAAAACGAACATATTAATGTATGTCCATAATTAATATATTGGTAATAATAATACAAATTCTTTTTTAAAAAATATGGATGTTGAGAATAATTCAAGATGAAAACCAAAATTTAAAGAAAAGATAAATGAGGACATGGTGACTACTATCCCTTAGGATTTTTTTCAATCGATGGTTTCTTTTGTTCATTTAGATTACAAAAGGTTATTTATTTACTATTTATTTAGAAACAAACCTTTTCTTTAGTTATATCATAAGTAATTTTGGTCTTAGGCTAATTAGTTTTAATGACATATTACACTTTATAGTTCTTTAGT